TAGTGCGCCCGCTCGTTAGCCGAATGTAGCCAAAAGTTCACAACGCTATCAATATTTAAATTTATAGTGACAATCTAGAACCGGTATCGTTTCGTTCCTTAATTTTTCAAGCAGAAATTCAATCGTGATTTATGCAGCATCACTCACGGTCTATCTGTTATTCGTTTTCGCAAATATTAATGTTACAAAAGTCTTAATGGGTCATTGGATATTAATGCAACGATAAGGTTTTACGACTCAGAACATCTTCAGATGTTTTTAAGTCTTTTGTCGACCTGTTATTTAAACTCGTTGGCCATGTCATAGTAAATAAACTCATGCAATGAAATGAATCGAGGATAGTATCTTTAATGACATTAATAATATATCTTAATTAAAACTCTTAAGAGGTAAGGTTTGTTGTTTTGTGTCACCGATTTTCGATGATGTTCTCTAAAGCTTGTATATTGAATCAGAAGTATATTTAAATTAAGTTATTATAATAATAAATATAGTTGTGGGCGTTCATAGCTTCCGAATGAAGTCATTTATTCACGCTGTTGGAAGTTTCATCCGGACTGCCTAGATTTAGTCTGATTAGGCTATTGTGATTGTGATATATTTAATTTTTTATTTTATTTTTTATTCTTTACGTTTCACGTGTATATATTTCTCAATAACGTCTAGTCGTACCACTATATAACATTTGATGAGGCCAGTATCGTAGTACAGTCTCGAACCGTAGTGGAGTGGCATGTCGTTTGGTGGAAAAAGGGTGTAATGTTTTCAGGCCGGCAACTCGTGTGGTTGCGGAAAATATCAGTAAGTGCTTATGCGGGTGATTGTGATATCTCCACTGCCAACGCTGCCGCCCGACGACCGACGGCACACTTATGCATCCTGTTTGCACCTAAATGTTGCTAGACTCAGCTCGCTATGCATCGAGCGTAATGTACAGTCAACGACAAAAGTCTTAAGCGCTTTATTATAATGTATATATTAATGGGACTTGTTTTTTCTTAATTTTATTTTTATTTTGATTCTGTTTTTTTTTTCAGAAATTGTTACTAAGTAAAATTATGATAACCAAGCGATGATAATTAACTTTTTACTCATCTTATATATAAATTCTGCGAAAAAATTATGAATAAATTTTTGAGCTTCTAATATTTTTCTTAATAGACTTAAATTTGAAATAAATATAATAAAGATTAAATTAATCATTGTGACTTGTCTGTAATATTTGGATATACATTTGAAGTCGACTGTACCGGAAATTTTTGAGATAGTAATTATAATTACGTATGTAGGTTTAAAGGAAACAAAAAAGTTTAAAAGTGTCAACTGTAAGGAAATAGAAATCGCGACTTTCGAATTATGTGAAATGCAAAACGAGATATTTATCTTGCACATTGCAAACTGGTTTTAAAAAATAATGTTTAATTATTTACACAAAATGTATGTGCAGTGCAGCGTTATTGATTGGCATTGATTAATTTTGACATGGCATGAAAATAAATCAAATAAAAAGTAAAAGAATTTCATTGCAATACTTTAATTTAATAAGAAAGTAGTATAGAAAAGTCATAGCTGCGTAATATTAGTCAGCGGAGGAACTGTTTCGCCTTGCACTTGACAGAACCAAATATTCCAAGATAGCGGCGAACCTTCAAGACTGAGGAGACACTAGAAGAAGATAGGAAAGTCGAATTAGAATTTAATGCTAAAAAAAATTAATTGTGTACGATAGTTTGGCCACGGGACCTGGAGCGTAGGGCGTCCTCTATGCAGGTGGACCAACGACTTAGTGCGCATGGTGAGAAGTCTTTGCATGCGGAAGGCGGAAGAGCACGTACTGTGGAAGGCATTGGGAAATGCCTATGCCCAGCAGTGGGCAGATAAAGCGTGACAATGATGATTGTTTAGTAATTTTTATGGTAGTTTTGTCCATATTGACTGCTATTATTAATGCCATTTACCGGTCACTAAGGGCGGCCCTAAATATAGATTTAATATGAGCAATCAACACTAAAGGACTGATCTAACAAACTTCTCAGAATAGTTCTTATACAGTCTAATATAATAGAATAGCAACTATATGTATACGTGGTCAGTATTCTTAAATTAAACATGGCCGCCTTATTCGCCAGTATTTTATATAAAACTAATGTAACACTTGCAACTTTTCTAATAAATTGACAGATATTAGATTGTGTTAAGTATATAACAGGTGTATCACAGGGTAGACGACCTCCACCAAGTGGTCTAGATGTCGAACTTGAGACCGAACGAGTGCCCCTACTGATAAACCAGACTGCTCTATAAATATCTATAAAAACCAGTATCATATAATTTTAGTACATACACATCGCTATTTATTCGTTTTAATAAAGTGATTCATTTATAAGGAAGTTTGTTATCATTTTAAAAAGCTCTTAAAGCTGCTGAAATAAGATATTAAATGCCAAAAACAAGGCTTGCTTTTGAGTGTTTTAGTATTTAGAAATCAGTATAATACTGCAGTTTAGACAACTTAGAAATTTTATTAAGTTTCTTTAATTACCTAATTGAGGCTAACCGTGAGTTTCTGAGTTCAAAATCTAAGTTTAAAATTGTCAACAAGGATGACGCTATGTTTTATACAGATATTTTGGTTTCAGTAAGTCACGGTAAGTCATAAAAAAAATTATTGTTAAAATATTAGCAGATTTGTTTGGAAATTTACTAATATTTCTATAAGGCTTGTGATAAGATATGGTTTACGACAATAGTCGAATGGCCAGATTCGAACCTCCGACCTCGTGATCGCAAATCCGTACCCTTAACCATTACGCTTCAAATAAAAGTATTGTTACAATTTTTCATGTTTGGAAATGTAAATGAAGTAAGCAATTACTTACAAAATAGTTTGAAATCGACAGCAAATAAGCCCCTATCTTTTTTTTAATAAAAATAACATTAGTTATATCATTTAAGAATAATATTGATTTCGTTCAGTTATAAAACAATATTATGTTAGTAATATATTACTGTTTTAAGTCAAGAAAAGGTCACGCAGATGTATGCTAATAATATTTTAGATTTACGCTCCTTCCTTGACATTATTAATTGATTAAACATCTTTAAAAGTTATCGAGTCGCTTTTTTGGCATTAAATTTTATTATCTACTAGCTGTTGTCCGCGACTCCATTCGCGTGGAGTTTAAAAAACAAAAGTATTCGTCAGACTATGTTCTACATCTATGCCGAATTATAGCGTGATCCATGCAGCCATTCTACAGATACCTACAAACATACATCCATCCATCCAAACATAACATTAGTGGGATAGTAAAATGTATTTTCATAATTCTAATGAACAGGTAGGATTTCTACTGGAACATAATGGTGGGCTTCCACTGCGTGAAATTCGCATACAATTATACCTACATTATTATCTGTGTTAACTATTTAACTACGTCCCTGGGTAAAGACAAAGCTTTATATTGTATTTAAGGCATTTAGTAAAGAGAAGGAAATAAATCCTTAGCTTCAAATTGTAATAGTTGTAGGCTTGGTACGTGATTAATGTTTGTACAAACAAGTTTTTTTTTATTACACTCAAAGTGGAGCTGTCCCATTAGACAGTATCAGTCAGCTCAAGGCCGCTTCCCTGTCAGCGGGTTGGCGCATTTCAATGTAATATGCAAATTGTATTATTCAATTAAGTCATTAGGCTTAAACTTATTTTAGGACGCACTTACGTATTGATGTTTCAATCTCGTTATGCAAATCCTCGCAATGTGTGTTACAGAGTCGCGGTACAATAATAAAGGAAATTTAAGGCGCTTGTTTGCATTATTTCGTATGTTTCTTTATTTTAATATTATCTAAATATAGATTCGGATCATTTTAACTTGATAAGAGTTAAAGGTAGAGTTCTCAGCTTGGCATATTATCTTAGCATTTTATTAACTATAATCTAAGAAAATTAGATATTATTACCGTGGGTTTCTAAGTTTACAATCTCCGTTTAAAACATATTGTTTTCTCAAAGTCAAATAGTGTCAGAAACCCACGCTTAGTAACATAAGTAACGTAACTAAATTCAGTTGTTTTTTATGCTTTTAATTTTTGAACTCCTTTTTCATATATATTCCAACTGTAAACTCCTTTTGAGACACATTTTTTTAATAATATCAATTTCTATCCCGTACCTAATTTGCAATTTGGAATAAAGTATATTTTTCTATATAATTTTACGCAACTTTGGGATATTTGCACGTGTGAATGGGCAGTGTCAGGATTCTCCCATTGAATATTCCGCGCATGTGAAGGCGCCGAAGTAATGCTTGTGTATTATGTTAATCGTAGGCGGACAGATAGCAGTTCTCATTTCATTCACACCTGGTATACACTACAATACCACTACTACACATAGTACTACAATACCATCATACATCTTATGGTATCCTGGTACTTTTCATAAAACTTTTAATAAGTAACTGTATCAACTGCCGAATTACTTCGAAGAACATATTGTCGTCCTTTTCAATTTCTCTGGAATAAACAGAGATAACAATATGTTTGTGTGTTTCGGAAATGCATGAAGATTTGATACACTTGTATCGAGTCACGCGTGATAAGTGACCGTGATGGATGTTTGTGATGTGTTCACACTTGTATTGTCACGTTTACCATTAACGCTGTATCGAGTGGAGGCTTTATTAACAAAATGTCACCGATCTGTTTGTCGCAATATTATTTTATGCGGCCGATTTGTATAACATTCTATTTTAATTAAGATTAAGCCGATATCGGAATGCATTTTGTTGGAAATATTTCCGATATGGGTGGCATTTACCGGTTGATGCGTTTAATGTTTGAACACACTGTAGAGTATTTTTAAATTGTAATGAAAATAAAAAACGATTATTCTAAGATATTTGGGTTTTGTGTTAATTTGGTGTTGAGATGAAGATTTACTTCCCTACAGCGCCTTAAAAATTAAAATATATAAATAATATAGTAATTATTTTCAGGTATATTGTGTGGCGGCCATCTTTGTTCAGCGGGGCCTCGACCGTGGCGGCCGTCGACCTTGCCTCCGAACCGTGTCAGGAAAATGCTTTCCTCCTGTTTGCAACGTGTGGCCGAACAGTTTACTCTACTTTCTTAATTTTAACTTTCTCTTAAATATTTCCTTAGAATGTAAGTTTGAAAATTACGTTAATTTGTTAAAACTTTGTCCATATAATAGTCAGTATTTGCCGGTGTTAGTATTTTCTTCAAAGTATAAGATTTACTGTTTTTTTATGATTGTGATAAAGCGCGAAAAAAAATAAAAAAGACTATATAATTGTGGCTCCACTTAATGTACTTAAGAACTTACAAAACTAATTTAAATATAAATAAAAAATATTTTAACAGATAGTGAAGTTCTGAGTGACGGGATGCGTCACGCGGTCGTCACGTCGTCGGCAGACGTCCGGCCGCTGTAGATGGCGCGGCCAAATAGAGCAACCTGCGGAGCGGCGCGCCCGCGGCTCGCGGCTCGCATACAAAGCAGTCCGCTACCAACAATCGATACAGAAAGAAATCCTCACGACGAACAATGTTTTTGAGACCGCTTGTAATATACAGAATGAAATGCGTCACAATATATTTTCATATTTTAATCTTTCTGGACAATTCAAGATATATCTAAAATGCTGCAAATAAACTTGTGATGGTCCACTGCTGCTAGACGTAGGGCCTCGCTTTGGTTTCCTAGTATACTTTTTTAAAAGGATTAAACAGTGAATGCAATGTTTATGAATATAAAGAAAGTCGTGATAGTTTTACATAATGTATATCTCAAGAACGGCTGTGTGGACAGAGAGACGGACTTAAGAATGTTCTTTATCACGTTGCCTGATTTTTTTGAATACGCATCGACGGATTCCCGTTCAAAAGCTAGTATTTAATAGAATTATAACGGAGACGACAGGAACAATTAATCTGTTAAGTAACTGGTCATTATTTGGTTTTGAATAGTTGTGCGAAACAATAATACTTTTTGTTTATAGATTAACAACCAAATAAACATGAGTAGGACTATAAGGTAAATTAAAATCATAATGGTTGACATTTTTTGATAAATTTTATTGGTCCTTTTAAGAACATCGTAACACGATAGGGAAACGCACAATTAGTGCCCGAAATTGTTATATTCATTTACACTAAAATATATTAAAAAAAAATCGTTACTGTGCGCTAGCTAAAGTACGTCTTCATTCGGCGTAACCATAAACAACGTCCAAGTTATATTTAAGTTACGTGGCACTACTTAGTATGTTGCACTTGACTATAATAAATTTAACACGCGCACTTGTAATCGGTTTAAGTTAGTATGCATACTAATATTATATAAATATACATTATGTATAAAACCTTTAAATCGTAACTGTCAGTAATAATAATACATTACTCATAGTGTAAATAAAATTATATATTTTATTCCAACAATATATAATATATCTTCGAGTTTTAAGTTAAATAATAGTAATAATTTAATTTTGTCTCCATATACATTATGATGTCTTATTGTAAAATTTGTTAGAGGCAATAAAATTCTATTTAAATTATTAATAAAAGGGGTTTTTGTGTATTTTCACATAATTAAATGTAGATTTATAGTTTAATGTGTTCTAAAATATATTAAATGCAATAAACATAAAATTTTATTGCAAAAAACGTTGTTTTATTTTACGTTTTATTTGTTTTATATGACATTATAAGATAAGATGCCTACATTTATATCAAACATGTTTTATATATAGAGTTCTGGATTCTTTTTTAAACATTTTATCCCCGTTTGAAGCGAATTATTATCCCTGTCTTATCTAAAACAATGGCAGGATGACGTTATGTTTTATACAATAGTTTTGGTCTCAGAAACCAACAGTGAGAAAGCCTATTTGTGGGCTTTTGCGTATAAGTTTTTGTCCTTGAGTTTTATAATTTTAAAGTATGTCAGGGTTATTGTCGGAGGTAGTATTCAAAAAAGCTATTACAAACTTATTGATGTGCTGTTAATACTAAATAACTGGACACCGTCATAAGGTTAGTATTCCACTAGTGTTATCATTAGGCGCTATTTTGTTATGAACATCCTTGTATTTATCGTCTCTTTAACTGTTTTTAAGTTTTTACATTTGAATGTAAAAGGTTACAAGCGATCACAATCTAAATGTTTATATGTCCTTTAAAAGATCACAAATGGGATCTTTGAGGAGCATTACTTTGCTAATAATAAATGTTTTCAGTTGACGGAATGTAGCTGGACGGGGACACGACAGTTTCGAGTCTCGTCAAGAATTTTTTCTGATCGTTTAACCATATACAGTCGTCATGTTTGTTGTTCTGTAACTTAAAATCATTGCGTGAAAACCAACCACTGTGACAAGGCGCGAGATATTTTTACCATACGTGTTTCCATTAGGTAAAGTTATAATCAAAATATGCAGGAAATAATTCTGGATATTTCGATATTTTATCCACTAACCAAATAAACGCGACACTGACTGTGCGCTTTGTGTCTATACCATGGCACACTAGCGAATAGTCACGCTAGTGGAAAAAGGGTCTTAGACTGGCATTTAATACCTAATGTTTTAGTATCCTACATTTAATTCATCAATTTTTTTAATAAAAATATCTCCGTTTAGTAAAATTATGTTTCAGACTGATTTTAACAGACATAAAATTTGAAGATTTTTCAATAATATAAAAGCTAATTATATCAAACTATTTGATGTTATCAACTAGAGATATATGATTGCGAAACTTAGCTAAACTAGAATTGAATTAGTTGGGAAATTGAAACTATATAATAGAACATAAAATGCGAGACAATTTGAACTGACCGTAAGCGTAGTGTACACACTGTCTGGGTTTAAGATTTTAAATTATTTGTGACATTATTAGCTGTCGTCCACGACTTCGTCCGCGCGGAATAAAAAATCTTAGTAGTCTATGTGCTCTTCTAGACTATGTTCAACACCTATACCTAATTTCAACGAGATCAATTGAGTCGTTTTGGAGATACCTTCTAATAAATTCCATCCATCCATCCATAATCTAAATGTACGCATTTATAATATTAGTAAGATAGCAAGTTTATATATAAGCAATAAACGGAATCCTTACAAGTAAAGAAACCAAATTAATTGACCAAAAAGTTGGGCAGAACTTATAAGAATTTCAGTAATATCAAACTTAAACAAAATTCACTATTTGCAAAGCTTAATTTAAGTTAATAGTCACGTCTGCAAATAATTTTCTGCAGTTACCTCTATCCGTTGAATTTATTTGACCCATCAAATGTGTCCGCACACTTATATCCGCGTAATGCCGATAAAGATCGAGATGCTTTTAGTGTTTCGACACTTATTATAATATGACGCCTTGAACACGTCGATTATTCCGCGTCATATGCTAATTAACGACCAATTAACTATACACTATATATTTTACCGTCCATATCGAGTTTTATGCATTTTAAAATACTAAAATAAAGAAAAATTTCTTTTTGTTTAGATATATCAGTACAATTCCTTATAACTTTCAATTTGAATACATTTGATGCATTTTCACGAGACATATGGTTTTGATTTCGCCGTTTATTGCATAACTGTAGAAAAAAATACATAGACTAGTGTCTTTCCTATCACGGAAACTGAAATCTTTTAGTTGACTTCACACATATCTTTGAATTTCTTCTCAGATATGTGCTGGTTGCATCACGATGTTTTCCTTCACCGACATTTATCCGACGTAAGAACGTCGGATAAATGTATATATGTAAATCGGAAATGGAAAAACACATCGGTACATGGCGGGATTCGAACCTAGTACCTGCAGATTGCAAGTCAAGTGCTTGACCCCTGAGCCACCGACGCTCTACCTATGTGACATGCGTGTGAATTATTTTATTACGCCTTAAAAATGGCTTAGAACAATGACGGAATACCGCAAGCATCACCTTTAAACCACTCTTCAAGTAGCAACCGTCTTTTTTATTACGCTATTGGTTTTAAAGGTATTTTTCTGAGAAGACGTACAGTATAACGCCATCTCATTATAATTGCGGTCACGTGGTCCTCGACCACAACCACATACCATAGCTACCGCAATTGTGACCATATTATATTATATACCTACACGTCATTTACTTGACAACTTTATCACTGAGTCATGTACGTCGCAATGCATCCTGGGAACGATTCCAAGCCATCATCAAATACGTGAGTGCTAAAAATAAGTTAATGTCAAACGATTTAATTTTTTGGCCATTGTAGACTTGAAATGGCCTATTGTATTCTTAATCCTCATATCAAGTTATGGAGTTTTGTCGTGTATTCTTCGAGATCGAATAGTCACCTATCAGGACACATATCATTATTTTATCGAAGACATGATTACTTTTTTTAATAAATACATGTACGAAACAATACGAGTACGTTTTTTTTAATAAATACTCGTATGTTAAAAGAAATAAAAACCGAAATTGTGCAATTCAAAAGTTCAAAAGCCTTCATGTAGAATTGTTCTAGCCACGTACGCTAATTTAAAAAAAATATCTAACTAGACTCGCAGTGAAATAGAGGCATTCGAGCGTCGTTGCGGCAGTGAAAACAAACAGACATGCACATAAACAAGGGAGCATGTCACCCGGATGTCGGCGTCCGTGAGTAGTTGCGTATGTGCGGCCCGTCGTCTGTAGAAAGTGTCGTCACGAGGCTCTTTAGCGGCAACGTGACGGATCCGACTCCTTGTCTTAATATTTAAGAAGTAAAAAAATGATTTTGATTACTAAGATTTAGGATGTGGAAGGCATCAGGAAGTCCCATATCTAGAAGAGGTTAGACAAAGGCCGATGGTGATGATGATCAAATCAATCAAAGTGTGGTAAGTAAAAAACTTTTATTTTTTAACAGAGCTGATTCACTTAATACCGTTAATGTCTACTTTGACAGTTAATGTCAACTTATTTATTAAGTTGTCACAATTTAGGTTTGAATAAAAAAATATGTACTAATTTCCCGTGACTTCTAGTGTAAATGTCTCTCTAGCGTGGGTCGCGTTGTTCGGACGCACCGAACGCTATATATTACCATTGTGAGACGTGGCCAATGCCATCGAATACCTAATTACGTTGCTTGTTTTCTAGAGTAGAGAAAATTTGTCTCCCAACGAGACTCTCTCTGAAACCAATTATACTTAGGGCACGTTCGGTTTCTAAAGACCTATTCTTCTTAGCTTACGACTTTAGTGCGGGAAAATAATGGCAATAATTAGCGAAATGTTTTGATTCGATGTATGTTTGTTATTTAAGAATACTATACTTTGTGTGAGGTAAGATTAAACAAACTCGTATGTAACCCAGACATGGTGTATTTTGGGGGTCGGCTGACATAAAATCACAAATGCATATATTGAAAGCTGAATCTAATATTATCCTCTGTTATTTCATAAAATACCCCACTTTATTATAAACTACCTAATATAAAACTTGCTTTATTAAAAATATATATATATACAAAAATTTTGATATATTTTTAATTTATTCAGTTTTTTAATCTATGACAATCTATGGGTATCTATGACATCGTTCCCTTTTCTGTCTGTGTTGCAGCGTCGGAATTGTCGGTAATTTTAGAAAAACTAGTCGATAGATGGACAACGTTACCCGGACATTCCGACAGATTTGCATACGTAAGTTTAACTGGCAGTTTACGTTGTCACTATGGCGAGTACTGGCTGTATGACAACTAACTTTAGTGACGTCGATTGGATTTATTTTTTTAATGCAACGATAACTGTGTTATAAAAAAATACATAAATATATTTAGTTATTAAAAACATTGAAACAAAAATGTGATAATTGTAGTCTGT